TACATTTGTTTTAAGACTGTGCAAAGGTTGGAAGTGGGTTTGCATTTCTAAAATGGTGACTTTTATTCAGCAAGAGTTCTTAGTAACTTCTTGAGTGTGGTAGACTTTGGAACATGTAAATTTTTTGCCTGTAATGTTATCCTGTGGTAGGATTTTGGCAGAGAGATGCTGCCCTATTTTATTTTGAGTCTAAGTTAAATGTTTTCTGAAAACAGAAATGTGCACTGAACTCTCCACTGCAAGTCAAGATGTGGTAAAACCGAAAGAAAGTTCAAGACAATGAAATGGAATACTACTGTCGATTTCATGTCCACTGTGTTTTATACAGTATCTTTTTTGTTCACTTTGGAAATTTTTACTAAAAATGCAAAAAATAAAGTATTGTGCAAAGATATGTAAGGTTTTTTGAAACTTGAAATGCATTAATAAATAGACTTGATGAAATCATCCTCTGAAGATCCATTTACTTTTTGAACCCTGAAAGCAAAAAGGAATACACAGATTCTGCTTAATTTTTGGCTTTCTCTGGAAAGAGGCTGTCATGCCAAAAAGTAATTGTACTTCACACTATTGAAGTGCACCTCCCAATTTTAACATCATGCAGTAAAATGTAAGACAGTGTTTTTGTGTAACCTTTTTAAGGAAAAGCCCTAAAATTACCTTTAAATTCCTTGTATGATCACAGGAATAAACCTTTCTCTGTTCTTATCTTCAAAATGGTAACTACTTACTGGTGGGGTATTCAAGCCTGGCACCGTAGCTACTGAATGGTAATACCTTCTGAAATAAATATATATTTGAAGAGGAATGCTGGAATTGTGCATTCAGAGTATTGCATGTTAACTGATAGATAAGGCTTAGAAGGAGTAAGTTTGCTTTTTGCAAGGTGTTTTAAAACTGCTAAGCTGGCGCTGTGTTTCCCTGTATGTTGTATAGTTGATTTAAGTAATAAGAGTGCTTTTAAAAGCCAAGTCCAGCCAGCTAGCCTTTCATTCTTAGGGCTGTTTGTTGAGAGTGGCCTGCTTAGACATCTGTTTCCCTAACTGAGCAGCATATGCTTTGATGTAATCAAAGCATATTCAGAGTTCCTGCCTTGCAGTACTTTTTATTTTCTTTTTCCCCTCGCTTTTTTTTTTTTCTTTTTTTTTTTAATGGAAGTGCTTCCCCTTGCAGCTGCATTACACTGTCAGGGCAAAAGGTATTAAAAGAAAATCAGTTGGAGCAGAGCCCTTCTGCAAACCAGCATCATAGGTGCCTAATAGATTTGGTGGTGGTTGCATTTAAATTTCTGCCTAGGAACACAAACCAGGTGCATAGAAATAATGCCTAAACATCTAAAATACAAATTTTCTGTATATTTTAAAATGTTTTGGGGGAGATAAATGGGTACATAAATAGCTGTAATTAACTAATATTCAACCTGGTAGTCCCTAGTTGTAGCTATTCATTTATTCATCTTGAATTTCTTAATGTTTAGTCATTAAATGTATACATTCACCTCTGGGATAGAAGCATATATAGTCAGAATGTATTTATACCATACAGACTAGAAGTCATTCATATAGTTTGCCTTTTATTTAACATTCCAATATTTCTTTCAGGAAAAAAAAACCTCAAAAAGGAAGGAAGAGATTTTTTTACTTCTGAATATTGGAGGTTCATTATTACAGAGAGGTGCTTGAAAGGACAGCAGTCATTATGTCGTCGTAAGCTGTGCTTGCGCTGACAGGATTAGGCTCCTCATGGCTTTCAAGGTCTTGATTCAGTTGTTTGGAGTGAGACAGAAATAATTCCAATGAGCAGAAAGTAAGGCACCGCTACAGGCACTTGCAATTGTAGGTATGATTTCAGTATTATATTCAGGCATCGTACGACTTTGAGTATGCTGCAACTTGGGCTTTATTTCATTTTTATGTTAGAAATTAGTGTAATGGCTATCAAAACACAGGGACAGAATTTATTTAGACATATGACTTGTGAAAAATGACATCAGAATAAGGATCTTCATATCTGCAAGAGTTCAAATACTGAATGTTCTTTTAATTTTCCTATTTGACTTTTTAAAGGTTTTCAATTTGTCTGAGGATGTACTAGCTTGTTTCAGTTGAACTGGAGAATGGGTTTTTTTCCTCAGAAACTTTAGAAGTCCTCAAACTGCAGTATCCCCATTACTTGAGTTTCAGCACACTGTAGTCATCTCTGACCTTTTTTTTCCACCTGCTTTTCCTGAACTTACGCTTTCAAGCCTGTTTCTCCTAAAGTTTAGATTCCTTTATCGGCCTTCTTACCAAGTAAGTGATAGTAATGTGAAAGAAATGCCAATTTTAATGTCTAAAATGTTTTTAAGTGTGTTAGGATGTGTAACTACAGGAAAATTATTACTTGAAAGGCTCTGTGAATATGCATGTTCTACATCATAGAAATCTCATTAAAAGCTGTCTCTCCAACTCTAGTGTTTTTTTTTTTTCAGGTATAGCAAAACACTAACGTCGTAGTTTCTGCACTGAAGAAGCACAGTCCAGTTCTTTCTAACCTTTGTCTCTTGCTCCATCATCGTTCACTATCTTCTGAACAAAGCCTTTTTGGAGGAGTAAGAGTAGGATTTGGTTCAGGAAGCTTACAGAGTTCATAGAAAGTTGGTGATAACCAATGTTGTAGATGCAATTCCAATGACAGTATTTCAATTCTTCTATAAGTAGACATGTATTGTATAAACAAAACAACTCTAAACATAAGAAGTAAAAGTGGGAGATCTTTAGCTTTCCCCAGAAGCAAAAACTGAATTCTAGAAACAGTCTAGGGAGATGCATAATTTGAGTTAGCCACACACACATACTTCTCTCTCTGTTCTCTCTCACTTTTCATTGTGCTTTGGAAAACTAAAACGGCCACACTGTCATTTTTGTTTGTTGTCTGTTATTCTTCAGGACACTGTCCATTTTAACTTCATGCTGCTAAAAATGTTGTCACTGGGTCTCTAGCACTTGAGTGTCTCCCGTGGATTATAGCTACTACAAATGTAAAAAAATAAACCAACCATCATCTAAAAAAGGTCTGGTGCTTACCTAACTATTTCAGGGATACTTATTGCTGAAATTTCCCTCTTCTGTGTGTGCTCCTGATTTGACTTCTGGCTATTATTAAAGTGATCGATTTTTAGATAAACACAGAACATATTACAGAGCTTTAATAAAATAATTATGTTAGGAAGTTTAAGTATTGGGGATAGTAACCTGAAGCATGAAATTAATCATTTAAATTGTGGTTTTTGACATAGGAGGAGGAAATACTTTTCATGTTTTAAAAAACCAATTTGCGTCACTGAGCAAAATCATTTAAAGCACAAACCTTCATTTTCAGTAAAGACCTAAAGATTCTTTTACATGGAATTTGTATCTAAATCTATAAATATTTCTCCTAATCAAGATGCTACTCCAAGTGGCCATTTTAAATATCAGATCAGCTTCTGAAATTCACACCTCAGGAAGGACAGCCATTCTCGTTTGAAAAGTAAGTATGCTTCAGTTCCCATCATATTTAGTCAGCCTTTCTGTTTCTGTATTGAATATTCCTGATTGTTTAAAGGACTGGTAGTTATTGAAAGCCACTTTTAAAAGTTAGAAGTTAATATTCTGAATGTTTGGCAAAGATGCCTGCGTTCAACATTTGATCACTGTTCATTGCTTGTGGGATTGCTTGCTCTGCTCAACTTGTTCATTTGTTGTGCTTTTTAAATAAATCTCCCTTTAATCCTGCTAACATCTGTATATTTTGATTCAAAATTCCCTGCAATATCTCGGTATGGAAAATATGCTTTGCTCCAGGTCTTAGGACTATCTTGCACTTTTTTTACCATTTAGAGAACATTTAAAACAAATTAAATTCAGAATACAGAGTTGTAGAAACATAATTTTTAATGAATCTTGTGCTTAGCATTACAAAGTGACAAATGGAATACTCTGACATACATATTGATTTCTATTTCGGTATGCACTAGCTGTAAAATAAAAATAATCTGAGACAATGTTTCTTTATGTAGTTTATATTCTGACATAGGAAAAAAAGGAATTGTTGTGTTTGAATTTATAAAGTTTGTTTATATACACTAAAGATGTTTGAGGGTTTTACCATTTTCATTTATTCATGCAGTTTTGACTCATGCTAAAATCTGCTATACAGTGATTTAAAATCTAAAAATCTCGAGCCTTACCTGAATAGGTAAATATGATTTTAATGTAAAAGTTAACTGAACTTAGTTGTGCTAGGATTGCATGTAGTATACTAAGCATCATTAAAATAATTAAATTACTAGTAATTTAAATCAGTACTTCAATTAAAACAGTTAAACAGCAAAACATTTTCCAATAGAACAAAGTTTAGTATAGCGTTTTTAGATAATAGTTATTTGGCTTGTCATATGGTTATGGCAGATAGCTCAAGCATTCTGTATGTTGAGATATGTTTTAGGTTTTGAATGTTACAAAGTAAAAAGTTCAAACTCTTTGTTAACAATGTTACCTATTTGGGAATATTTTGTTCTATTAATTATTTAACTTTCCCTTCCTTATGGAATAATTTAGGAAAGTCTTATCTGATAGTAGTCACTATTAGCATTTCGAAGTATTTAATGGGAAATGAGGCTTCTTTTTCCCTTAAATTCAACAAAATGAAATTTTTCAAAGGCTTATGGCAGTGATTCTTTCAAATAGTAATCTTTTTATTTCTGGTGAGCAGGTGTTTTTTAAAACTTTAAACAATTTAAAACTGATGGTTGCCCTTCATTAAATCGCTGATTGATCACATTGAGAGTAGGCTCATAGATGAACAAAGCACATATTTCAGCTTACTGTTGTATCACAAAATCTAAATTTTTTTTTAATGCATTTTCTTTACCACCTCTGAAACTATCAGGATATTTAAATTTAACATAGCTGTGTATTTTTAAAACATTTTACTAGATGTATAGTATTTTGAATATATTTGGTGAGTAGTTTTTTGTGTTCTTGCTCATTTTCTGTTTTGTCTCGGAAAGCGATCTTCACACCTCACAAATGTTTTCTCCTGGGCTGGATGAAGGTGAACGTTGTCAATGCTTTGAGAACAAAATGTCATTCTAGAAAGAAAACACAGCATGTAAGCATGATGTTATTTTTTAGGGCTACTATCTGTATTAAAAGTGTGCTCTCTGGATACACCAAATCTGACTTTCTTTATCCTGTCTTTTACAGGAAGGTATCTGATTGTTTTTATGGGCTTGTGAGGAAAGAGATGCATCTGGCTGCCAGATAGTAGGTACAGAGTAAAAGGAGTAGACAACTCCCATGTACTGACTGCATTATGCCTCCATCTTTCTGTTACCATACACAGCATGCTGTCCTCCAGAGCATACCCTCACAGTGATTTGGTCTTTGTATTCTCAGTGGCCATTGTCATTGTTTCAACTCTTACTATTACTACCAGGACTGCACTATTTAGCCTACTAGTACTTAGTTGGACTACTAGTATTTAGTTGTGAGGTTGCAAAAAATCAGTTATGTAGGATGCTAACAACATCAGTAGCTACATATGCTACAGAAATATTTTCCATATTTGGAACTCAGATATGTTGGAATCTGGTATTTTATTGCTCATAATAGTCTGTTTATTAAGTACTTTTTAAGTTTATGCTGTTACGTTGTGTCTAAGTGTTTGTCATTAGATAATCTAACAGGAAAATTTATCATGTCTATAAATATCACAACATTGTGAGGTAAAGGTACATGGAGATAAAATATTGTCAACAGTTTGTTCAAATTCTTGAGAAAGCACAAGACAACTCAAAACACGTCTTGTGTTTACTACCTTTTTTTTAATATTGAATTTCCAGGATTGATAATTCTTTGATCCATGATGTTTGGTCTTTCCAAGACAACTGAAAACTACACAGTCCTTTCTTTGAGGAAAATACTTTTCTTTGAGTGTCCTTTGTTCCTCCTTTTAGAATCACCTAATAATCTTTCATTCCCCCCGTCCTGGTTTCAGCTGGGTCACATCTAGTATATAAACTGGGGGGAGTGGGGGCGGGAGGATGGCTGCTCGGGGACTAACTGGGTGTTGATTGGCGGGTAGTGAGCAGTTGCATTGTGCATCATTTGTATATTCCAATCCTTTTATTATTACTGTTGTCATTTTATTAGTGTTATCGTTATCATTATTAGTTTCTTCTTTTCTGTGCTATTAAACCGTTCTTATCTCAACCCAGGAGTTTTACTTCTTTTCCCGATTTTCTCCCCCATCCCACTGGCTGGGAGGGGGAAGTGAGTGAGCAGCTGCGTGGTGCTTAGTTGCTGGCTGGGCTTAAACCATGACACCCCCTCAAGCATTAATACAGTAATTCAACAGTAACATGTCATTTCCTTTCCCATGACAAGCCCAGATCGCACACAACAAAACCCAGCACGTAATCCGTATCCACTAAAATCTTGACACAAACTCCCACTTCTGTTTGCAGAAAAAAAAACAACTTCTAAGGAGCCTTAGGTAGCTGAAGACACCAGCATCATTTTTTGTTAGTATAATAATTACCCACCTCAGTTACCCATTTCCTAGGATTTCTTTAGTAGTACATGAGTAGTATTTGGGAGAGTAGTAATGCGGGAGTATGTGCCAAGTGCTGGGTTAGGATAGGAAAATACTTAAAAAATACATTTTCAGGGGGACAAAACCCAAGAAAATATGATCCCTCCTCTGGCCCCCCAGCACACACAGATGGTCTTATGAAAATATCTCTAAATTGTCTAATTTCTGTCAGTATCAAAGAGATGCAGGTCTCCAAATAAGTATTGTTCCACAGAAAGTCTGCAGTAGTTATAACTGCTGCTGGTAAGAAAGACACTGCAGCAAGGAATAGCCACCTTCTAACTGAGCCACAGTTACAAGGTAAGACATGCTTTTCTCATTAACCTTAATTAAACTGCTCAGTTAAAATTTCTCAAAGGATTAAAGCAGTGGGAATCATTACAAGTTTTGTTATTCTGTCTTCTGGCTGAAATTTCTCTGTGAATAAGCAGTTTCAAATGTGTTATTAGCATTACTGTATGTAGAGAACAAGGCTACTCAGACTTATTGATCCAGTTTCAAAGCAATCAGCGGGGGGAAAAAAAAAAAAACCACGCACACACACACACACACCCCAAAAAACAAAACAAACAAAACACCAAAAAAAACCAAATACAGAGTTCAGTTTCCATTCTTTTTTTTTTTTCTGGAAAACTGCACTCTGATGCTACTTCAGAGTTCAGCTGACAAAATTCACATCCCTGAATAAAAAAGCACAACCAGAGTGCAAAAATTACTGTCAAATACCAGTGAAAGTCTGGTGTGTAGAAGTATAGATAGTCTTTTTGTTTTCTAGGACTGCTGACATTCTGTTTGCCCACTACAGAAATTTCACAATATCTGTAGTTGAAACTTTACTTGCACAGTTTATCACTCCAGGAACTTCTTATACAGCCTGCACAGTGTAGTAATTCCTTATAAACTGTCAGATGCTGGACTGGCTCTTAAACAGATGAGACAGAAATAAGGGATTTTTATGATAAAGCCCTTAACTTCAATGAATAATCAGATGACTAGTTCTGCATGTGATGCTTCTAATGAGTACTTTCAGGAATGATGATGTTGAGATTCTCTATGAAGTAGGTATTGAAAGTCAAATAATTAAGATTTGGCATATTTTTAAAGTAAGAATTTGAATTTTTCATGGCCTTAATGTTGGAGTCAATATTTATCTTAGGTAGTACCTTGTTTCTTTGAAAATTCATATCGTCCTTATGGAGTGAGATAATCACATTCTAAAAATAAGTCAGAATTCATCATCAATTTTTGTCAATAATTGTGTAGAAAAATTGCATTGCAGAACTTGTTAAAATTCTTCTTGGATCTGTGTGCTAACTCCTCTATCCTCTATTCCCAAGTATCAACAAAATTGTCACCCAAGGTTATTATGCCTTAAACTCAGATTAGTGACAGTGGTGAGCCAGAACACTTCCCAGTATTCATTTCTGACTTGGAAACAAAGAAATTCTTTAAGTCACTTAAAAATCATGCAGTCTGATCTGAGGGGGAGGGGTGAAATCCAGACGTTGTACATGGTTGAATTCACCATTGGTGTGAGTACTGGGACTCAGTTGCTTGTTTTTGAACTAGGATACCCTGTGTGCCAAATATCTGTGGTGTTATTATAGAAAAACAGTGTTTTCATTACACTTACTTTTGCTGTGTTTCCCCTGCTTTCACTCTTATTGTCTTCACTATAAGTCCTGGTCGACGGGTGCCTTTTGTCCATGGTATTATGGTTTGAACTGTGTCCCAGATATTTTCCCAAACTGCAGTTCCTTCCCATTTGAACTTGATCATTATTAGCTCACCAATATCAGTGTCCAGGGTGATGAGAAAAGAGTAGGTTTTATTCCCATTAATACCTTCAACTCTGCAGAAAACAAAACCACAATAATGCTGTCTTAATTATTATGCATTAAAGTGAAAAAACTAGTTTCTAAGCATCTATGTTATGTCTTTTGTCTACTAGAGCAAATGCTGACCCCCACTGTTGCCTTTGCTTTTGTTAATACAGATAGTGTCCATCGTGAGAAATATCCAAAATTCTTTACCTTAATTACAGCTGTTTATTTATTTGTGCTTTAATTGATTAGACCTCCCTGTGTTAGCCATAGGATGGACCGAACATAAGTGGACAGGATACTTAATGTTCAGGGAAACTTCCAAGATCACTAAGTTTGTTTTATAGAGGTTTTTCATGTAAAAACTCTATGAACTTTGTAAACGTTTGTGATATTTAGGGAATATGGGTGAAGAGAGGACAATTTCCAGTTCATTTTTACTTAGCTGTACTAAACCATTTCACTCACAGCATGATTATGTACATGATATGGTATTATAAATTGGCACCTTGTTTTTCACTTGTACAATGACATGTAATATGAATACTCACAGTGTGATGGGCAGGTTTTTAGCATCCTCCTTAGTGCCTGTCAGAGAGATGGTAAAAGTAGGGTCTATCGGCTTGCCTTGGATTTCATTGATGAAGTGGATCTTGAACTGATAATGATAGACTGTAGAAAGGAAGAATTTGCAAAGCGACGAAATTAATGGTCAAAGAAGCAATAGATTTCTCAGGCAAAAGAGTTTTGTCTTTCAGAGCAGAAACTTGATTGATATTCCATTTTATTTTTTAAACAGATTCATTGCAATTGAAACATCATAATTTCTTCTGATTGCTGTGCTGTGTAATCCCTTAGGGTTTGGGGCCCTGTTGCTCTATTTAAAAGGATGGAGAAAAAAGGTAATCTGGGTTGAGTTCCCTTCATAGGATAAAACGTTATTCCATGGGAAATGTTTCTGCTTTTCTGAAGTTTAATTGTTACAATTTCTGGCAAGTCCTCTATCTAATCACCAGACAAATCCTTATGACTGGACATGGCTAGAGATGCATGATACAGATTGAAGACCTTACGCAATGTAGTCAGGCTTTTTCTCTGATCGGCTAGAAAATTGCCCTGCGAAACAGATGACTCACAAACTTTCCTTCACTGCATAATGATACATTGTGCTTAACGTGTATCCATTAACAATATGACTTTGTCCAAGCACATTGCTATAAGAAAGATGTCATTAATACTTCGAGATTTGGTGGGTTTCTAGAAGAACAGTGTTTAGGAAAGTCTTTGACCTGAGTATTGTTGGAATGAAGAATGCCTGAGAAATCATAAGCATACCGATTATAAGCAGTTTGACATTTAGTAAATTATGGAAAAAAAAAAAAAAACCAAACCCAAAACTACCAAACATAGAGACCATGTGCACGCAGATATTGTCAACTAGATTTGAATGCTCAAAACTCTTCTGTCTGGTGATTCTACCAGCCACCTTTTTGACAAAACTGATAGATTTAGGTGCTAAAGAAGAAAACCCTAAGCAATTTCTATTAACAAAGACCACAGAGTATTTGGAAGAATTAGGGGTGTTGTATTTATCCTTGCAATCTGGTCAAATTATGGATGGGAAACTGTTCTGGTAAACATTATCGCGCACTAGTTCTTGAGTAGAAAGATGCTCTTTCCTCATTTCGTCTCCTCACCCACTTCAGGCTTCCCTACATCTGAGAATTGCTCCACCATACTGCTAAGGGAGTCATCTTTTTATGTATATGCACAGATAGATTTTTGTTGTTGTTGTTGTGCAGCTCTGAGTGTTCACAATGGAAGGTATTTGCTAGAAAAGCTGTATCTTTTTGTTGTTGTTTCATGGTTATTGTATGTTAATGAATAATGAATTTTCTTTTGAAAAGGTGTCACTCAGTAGAAAACAAAATGGCTGATTCTTTGCTGCAAACCTCATGAGGACAAAGTATGCAGAGAGGCTTGTTTACAGATCACTTATTACTAAGCTGTCTTCCTCTGAGTTTTCTCTCTGTGTAAAAATTTGTTCTGGTGTATGTTCTGATAAAGCCTGGGCTTTTGCTGTGGTTATGATGCTCACTTTAAGGAAGAAGGTGAGCGTATTCATATAAAAACTCTGACTCAGGGTCCCATCACAGCTTTATTATAACTGTTGACTTCTTTGTAGCAACTATTTTTTTGTTTGAACTGGATTAAAGTACGCTCCAAAATATAATGCTGCTATTAACTTGAAAAATGAAACATCAGATTTCGTGAAGACGCGGAGGATTGTGAAGTGTAATGCTGACTTTCTCAAATTTCTTCTGTTTGGGCTTCTCACATGATCTTCAAACATTTTTTTAAGAACATTACAAAGATGACTTTGTACATGCCCTCCCACAGTTGCTGCCTTGTTTGGGAACTTTTGTGAAAGGAAACCATTGTCTGGGGCACTGATATCTGCATATGCGCCAAGGACGTTTTTTTGAAGCAAAACCAGTTCCAAGCATAAAAATGCAGCATGTTTAAAATTGAAATCAAAGCCAATAGGACACAGATATTTTAGCACAAGCTGAAAAATCATCTCAGTGTCCAGACAAGAACGCAACACAGGGATGGTGTTTCTATGCCCAGGTGTGGTGGTAGCAAACACCGTGTCCTCAGAGCAATTCAGTTTCCTGACTGACGGTGACCTGACCATACTGCAGCAAAATAACATCAGGAACTAGACGCAGCCTCTGGAATTTTTAAATCTGCTTCAAGTAGCTTCCTGAGGCATTGTAAGAAGTATAAGAAGAGATCCAGCAGATTCAGCTGCTCTGAGTATCAGTCAGGGCTGAGCAGATCCCTCTGGAATCATCACTGAATACTTCACAGCTGCACTAGTGGAAGACTTCAAAAATTATTTTAAAAGTACCTGAATTTTTGTATTTTTTTAAAAATCTGCGATGTTGTCATTGAGTACCGGGCACTGTGGGGAAACAAGATGTGTAACGCAAGCAGCTTTTTTAAGCATTTCTCCTCAGGACTGGAAAGCCCTTGCGCATCCATGCCAGGGGTGCGCTGTCGACTTTCAAAGTGCTTCCCCAACCCCAGCCCCTTGGGCAAGGGGACAAGCGGGCCTCCAACAGGAGGGAGGCACCCCCTTTCCGCCCACACCAGGCAGAACGGGCCAGCACCGACCGCTTGGTGAGGAGGCCAAGCTGCCCAGGCTGTGCTGCGCTGTTGCGTGCCACGTGCTTCATCGATAGCCAGCAAGCAGGTAGTGAGGAGGAACGCCACGCGTCCAAAGTCCCCACACCGAAAGTCCCTTGGCAGACGCGTGTCCCTGCCATTCATCCCACACAGTCCTGCGTGTTCTCGCTTTAAAACGTATGTAAACCTTTCCGCTGGCAGGTGAACGTCTGCTCACCGGCAGCAGTCGCCTCGTGGGCCCTCAGACAGACAAGTTGTAGCTAGCCTACAGCCAGGCCCACGCCATTTTGTAAGGGAGACTGGCAGATAGGCCCCGTTTCCCTGTCAGACTACTTCCCCTCTGGTAATACGTGCAAGAAACCACGTTGATTGTCTCTCGGAGCTTAGAAAATTGTCACTTGGTGCTCTTGATAAAGTAATGTAATGGAGATAAGGCTAGAGTACCGGTCACTTTATTTTAGTGCTACAGTTCTGCCCTGTAAAAGTCCATGCTATTCTGTTGTCTGTCCATTTTTTGAAGAGCAATAATTTATATGTCATCTTGTAGACTACTTGCAGCTAAAATTTGGGCAAGCTTGGAACAGGAGGTTTTACAGGCCCCCTAGAGCAATTATGCTACTTTTTTGGCTTGGCTGTGTGCCTGCATATGCTACAACAAACTCGCACAGGCCAGTTGTGGGAAAATCCTGTAGATCAGGACACCAAGCATCTCTGAGGCCACAGATCCACAGTTAGCCTGTGGCAAGCATGCAGCATGCTTTTTCCCACAGAAATACTGAGAGTCAGAATCTTGGTGAAAGGGCATCAAGACAGCCTACTGGGATTCTCAGTTGACTCAGCAAATTGATTATTCCCACAGAATTTATAAGCTTTAATAAATGAGTAAACAGGATCACAAAGCTTAGGCTCATTCTCACACTTCGTGATCGATCTGGAGACTGTAACAAGTATTCCCACAAACCTTTGAAAGGCATATGTGCTCTTGTTTTCAAAAAGAGTTGTCTACTTTTGGGGAGCCTTTCCTCCCTGATGTTGTAGCCCAGTGTGTTGCACCGGCTCTTTCTACAGCTGAGGCACATTCCTTTGTTGAAAGTGTTGATGTCATTGCACCAGTATGCTGTGCTTTGCTTATCGTTGTGAAGCAGAGAGTCGATGAACAAATGAACTGACCTCTCATGGGCACATTTAACAGTTTGAGTGATGCCTGAAAAAATACAAACAACAAAATTTTGTGTGCATTTCAACTGCAGAGGAGTACAGTAACCAACTATAAACATATGTTATTGTTTTCCCCCCACCCCCTTTATTAATCAAACATCCTGATTTTGCCTCAGAAATCATACATTGTAGCAACTTTACTTTTAGGATCATCCAAAATATTTTGGCTGAACCCCTGTGATAATAAAATTGAATAATTTGCTGCTTAAACTTCTCTAGCCTGACTGTTTAAGACTGTAAATATGAACCTTGATTTCATCGTCCTGGCTGTTTTGGTCAATATGAAATACAATATAAAGCTATGTGCAGTCTTTCAAATCATGCCACGCTAAAGACAGCAGTCTCATTCTGAATGGTTGAACACTTGTCTTTCGGATGCTTACACAGTAGTATCATATTTTGTCCTTATCAGAGTGACAAACTCCCATGTTGAATTGAATTTTGCTTGCACCTACTACTGGGGAAAAAGGAGCAAAAGAAAGTATTAAATACATTTAAAAAATTATTAAATACGCACATCTGCTTTTATGAGAAGTATCTTTTTCTTCCTGAAGTGTCATCAAATTACAAAAGTTATTTTTTAATGTGTAATCAGGATATATCACGATGGACTATTTTTGCAATGAAGTATGCTGGGCGTACAGTACTCTTTTGGCGTTTTTCAGTGAACAGTTCTGGTTGTCACTGTGCATCAGTACCTTGTCTTTTTTCAGTATGTTGCATCAGTTTATATGTTTATGTTTAGGTACATTGGAAATAAACTTCTATATATAAAACCTAGCCTGGAACAGTGGCAGTCAGGTCCTAGAGAGAGCATCATCTGTGCAGCTGAAGGACAGGGAGTTAGGAAAAGGTGAGCTAAGGAGGTGAGTAGTACAGCCCTGTGTTTTATTTGACTTGAAATAATTGCACACTATATGAATCTGGCTTAATTAGAGTAAGTTTTCTCATTTCCTCTACTGCTAAAACGAATACCTTTGCAATTATTCTGAAGTGCTTGACAGAAGGATGCTCATGGCCTCATTTTCAGAAGTGCTAGGCAGCCAAATTCCTTACTGGAGTCAGTAAGAACAGTTTGAATTTAATACATGTAAAAACCAGATAACTAATTTCTAGAAAAGAAATTTCCTTGCATATAATGGGAGTATTATCTCCCATTAGATACTGTTTAAGATCATAGAGATATGTAAAGTTTCCCGGAGTGTCAGTGCAGTTCCAATGCCACTTCCCGTTTGTGCCGTTGGTTCTTACCAGTGATTCCGTATTGTGCAATGTGGTTATACACATGCATGATGTGACAGCCAGGCTGAAAGGTGCCTCCATTGGGATAAAAGTCGAAATGAGCCACAGGCTGCTTGATGCCAACACTGAGACCCATGTGCTGTTTAGTGAATGTATGAATTGCGTCTACGAAGTTTGCATCATCTGGAGATAAACGGTCTGTTGGTGACATTCCTTCAAACAAGGGACCAGCAGGGTCAAGGCCTGCAATAAATGCAAATAATCCAGTCGTGATATAGTACAGATGGGCTGTTCTTTTACTGTTATGAGAAAAGCCTGTGATAAATCTTTAAAAACAGACAGCGCTGGTACTTTACAAGGTCTTTCACTGATAGAAACAGTGCTAGGAACACTTGTCCTGAAGAGAGTACATGGTTACACCAAAAGATAAACACAGATGCTGTAATAAACAGTAACTGCTACATGCACAAGGACACAGGCCCAGAGATAGATGTGTTTGTTATAGACAAACCATGCTTGCTACTGCTTTGTCACTTGAGGGATGTTTATTTAATTTTGTTCTTTCATACTCCAGAGGTCATGCATTTCAGAGGCCCTTTTGAAGACACCAGTCCCACAACAATGTTGACTTTTAGCCCACATTTGGGACCTGAAACTTTATGCAGCTTCACTTACTGCTTAAAAGAGCTATGTGTCTGCTAGATGTTGTTTATAATAATTCTTCAACTTCAAAATTATTCAAGGCAAATTATTATGGTATTCAGAAAAATAATATTCCACTTATGGATTCTTGCTGATTTTTAGTTTTCTAGATATTTTTATATGGAGCCCTTTTTGGCTGGGAACTGATTAATGGAAAAGGACTGCCTGCATAGTTTAAAGCTGCCTTCAGTTTTGAGGACAAGCCTCTAAATTTGAGATTCTTCCGTTGGTACTATGGACTAACGTAGTTTCATAGATGTAACTGGATAAGACTAATAACACAGGCTACAGGTAGGGAGTCACCCTGAAGGCAACTATTTTTAATAGCTTTTATCACTATGAATTTTTGGAGCTTATTGTTACAAGTCTGAATAATTTTTGCTGAGGAATGCATGTAGCTGTTACAATAAATAATGTGTGTTAATGTTTTTTACTTATCCATTATCGAAGTTTGATGTACTACTATGGTTTGAACAAGCAGTGCTATTGAACTAAAGTCCTTCAGCGTATACACAGGTGTAATATCACGACACATTGTGTAAAATCAGCTTCTTGTCATGCAGGCACTGTCACAAGAGCTGATTGTATAAGGGACTATGATATGTGGCAATGAATCCAAGGTCAGAATTGGGACTTCAGACTACAGTTGTGCATATTTGCCTCACTCCCAAATCAGATTAAAGTAAAATGTTTTCTCTGATAACTTAAATGTAGCTGATGCGGGCCTTGTGTAAAATGCTCTTCTGTTTTTGTTTTTTGGTTTTTTTTTTTTAAGCTGTCACTGTCCATTAGATGTGGTACTGTATACAGTGTATCAATAACCTTAGAAATGTATTTTCATTACACTCATAATTAGTACAGTTACAAAACATTACAGAAGGCTCAAAATGCCACTAGTCAAAATAATCAAGTGGTACGGTTAACTTTGTTTACTTTAAGCATCTATTAGGGATGCTCTAATGTTATGCTTCTTGTAAAATGTAATCCAGGGCTATACTTTTTGCCACAGAACTGACTTCAATTCACTGCATGAGCAATGTACCACAATTGAAAGCTCAAGCACAGTTAGAAAATTTCCTTAATGTAATTTTCTTTTTAAAATGAGTTGCTAACAATGAACCGTGTATTTGAATGGCTTTGGGTCAAGATAGTGACCAAAGATCCAAGGTTAGTGGCTAACATTTAATTTAAGGTGTTACTGGGAATGGATATGAGATAAATTCAAGCAACATAAAACTTGAATCTTTGGTTTATGATTTGTAGTCCCCACACTTGTATATTCTGTATGTCATAATTTGGACTGAGGTAGGAAAGATCAAAGCTAGAACTACTATGATACTTCATTTTGAAAAGTGTTTTCATTAAATTTTCTAAATCTAATTTCTAAACCAATGGGATGAAACTTCTAAACTGTGGCAAATATTACTATTCAACAGCTAAATATTGATATGACATTGATATGTCAAATATCTATGTAACTTAAATTAGTTGACTGTTACATTTCTTAAAGTTATAAGTCTCTTACCTGTAATTCTCCCAATCTTGTTTGTACCACTGATATAACTTCCAGCAAATCCTGAAACATGAGCTCCTAGGCTGTACCCAATTAGATGAACATTGCTTCTGGAAAATTGAATAGATTCCTGGAAGATAGTGGCAGCTTGATTTAGATGCAGAAAATGTGAAAAGTAAACAGTGAAATACTTACTACAAGCTAGGTATGCCATGAATAACAGAAGAAATTTGTATGTTGATGACGGAGGTCAAATGAGGTGCATGGATCATGCAATAAATTTCTTCGTTGGCTAAATGTTATTCCTTGCCTCCTTTTCATGCAGCAGAAAAATGCCACACATTTGGGCACTGCTACTTATGTGCTATGCTCAGGAGAACCATCAACACAGATAGTAGAATTTTTGTTGATGTTTCTTGCAAGTGATGCAAATTTGCCTTGCCTCTTGTCTGCAGCATTTGACTTTCCTGTGACTATAAAATGGATATCTGTTCTTTAACTTCAGTGTAAAACAATTCTTTATTGAAAGTGCCGTGCTTTTTTTTGCCTGACATACTAGCACAAGCCAAATTAGAAGCCAAAGTATCAAAATATTGATCAGACATGCTAAGTGATACAGCAATGACATTTCTTGGATTGATTTGTACAAAACTGGGTATCCGATCTGAAACAAACTTGTTGAAGCAGAATTGGCCTCAGGCCCTTCTTTCTACCTAATCAATACTATCTAGATCTTAAGCATTTCACCTGAGCTGCAAGGCTCGAAGTTTTTCTGACTTGTAAAGAAATATGTGGCATATTTTTCTCACAGGAAAGGCAAACCTCTGTTTTAATTTCATTGTGGATATTGTCTGCCCCAGTGGGGTGGCTTTGCAGTCTCAATACCTGTCTCTTGTGAAGATGAGGTGAAACTTGGCAGCCGCCTTTTGAGAGAGGCAAGTCTTAGAAATCACAAGGTCTGACCAATTTTCTTGGTAGGTGTTATTGAGATGGATGCTACTGAGATTGTTACTGATCATGCCCTATTAATTCTTGGACTAAGAGCACCAAGATTTACTTTATTTTTATTCTTTATTAAAAAGTTGTACAGCACTGCAAGTTGTTACATCCATTGAGGATATCTCAAATACTCGCCTGCCTGTAAGCAGACAGAAGCATAACGGAAAGATAGTTATGGGAGTTGGAATGAAGGAGTTTTTAACTGTTAAACTCAGGAGGGGTGCCTCTCAACAGAAAGAAGGTTTACTGCTTGAACATGCTCAGTTGAATGCTGTGAAAATTTATGGCATATTTAAATCCTGGAATATATCACAGTACAAGAGAAGCTATCTACAATGCTGGAGCAAGGGGTCATTTATTCAAGCCTTGATTTGTTTGCTGACACTGGAGGAATCACAGGTTCTCTTTATTGTTGACAGTGTGGTGTGTCCTCTTGGGAACTGATCAAAGTCCATCGTTTGATTCATTCAATAATTAAACAGCTTCAAAATATGACTTTAGGCTCCAGCAATTTAAACTATATTTGACCAAGAGCTAAGGTTTCTTGTAATGTCACAAAGAAAAATAGTGACTCTGGCTCTTCTGCCTTCTCTTTTGTGCCTGTTGTCCTTAAAGGGGCATGGTATCTGACAACTTCTTCTAGCCCTGCCATTCCTGTTGCAAACAGCTTAGCTCTTCAGTGGTATTTGCTACAGATATTTCAGCTTTGCAGTGTATCTCCCTTCCACCTTAGCTGTCACCGTATTTAAATTAATGCATTAAAAAATTTATTGTGAGGTACAGAAGTATAATTTCATTTCAGATTAGGTGGCTTAAATTAGTACTAGAGATAGATGAAATAAGAGTTGCTTAGGGTGCCTGGTTTGTATGAGTGATTCTCATTCTAGTGTTTGCTTTCTGCCTTTTCTTAAATAGTGCTGGAGACCAGTGATCCATTGCAGACTTGTCTGCAGCCTTTTCAATCCAGCCATGGCCACTGCTCCCTACGTAGGAGGGGTTTTGATAAGTAGTCACTACATTAGTGTGGCTCTGTACTCACTACTGTCTCCATGTCATCTGCTTTGTGAGGCATGTCTGTCCTCTTGAAAGGTCTCCCTTTACATTCTGGATCTCTAAGCCATTATTTTAGAATAATCTTTGGGGAACTGAGGCAAAAATCAGACACAATGTCACGCTTGAATTCTGCATTAAAAGCAGAAATTAAGCACAGATAACATAAACCCATTTTACTGAACTAACCACTTGCAAATAATAATGTGTGCCTGCTTTCAAAGTGTGGGAATCTGTCAGTTGTCTGCACACATGCTACTTGAAAAGCTAAAGTAGCATGAAATCATCTCACCTCTAAAGACATATGAAAATATTTTAATAAACAAGACCACTTGCTTTTATCTCTTGCATGATGAAAGTTTTATGAAGTCATATGAAAGTTTATGGAAGAAAAATTTGCAATGTGTTAAAGAAACTTAAGTGATTAAAATGAACAGCGTTAACCAGCGTAGTATTTCAGAAAGGTGGTAGAAGCATAAGAACAGGTAAATAGGCCTTTTCCAGTGAAACATGTGTTGATCTGGGGGCTCTTACCTCCAGCCATTCCAGGAAGTCTGCTATCTCCTGTCCTATGTAGCGTGTATTCTGTACAGCAATGGGATAGTGCTGGTGAGCAAATGTAAGCCAGTCTGCAATGATCACATTAATTTGTTTATGCTGAGACTTCAGAGCTGCTGCCATTTTCCAAATCCAACCTTCTAACATCCCATCCACCTGTTTTATTAAGGAAAAAAACCAACCACAAAAACAAAACAAAAAACATTCTTAAGGTAAAGCAGTCTCTGCCAAATATTTCTTGTGAAAACCTCAAGGAGACAAAAACCATGATATCAACAAGGAGGGCTTAATGCTGATAACTAGATTTTAGCATGCTTCAGTACTGAGAATCTTTGGGGTTTAGTGGACAAAAAAATTAGGAATGAATGTATGAACTGTATAATAATTTGTCTTGTAATAAGAACTGTTATGAGGGATGTCCCTAAGTATTTTCACTCATCATGAGATAATTGATATTACTGATGAAAAAGAAAGACAGAAATGCCCAGAAAATTTTTGATTTGTTAATCTGCAAACTAAGTTAGTGTGAATGATAAATTTCAATGGCAGCAGCTTCAGGTCCATGGTTTGTCTTTGAGGAGGGTACAGGTTTTGAACAAATTCTTGTTTGGGAGGCTTGGCTAAAGTAATCTAGGGCAATATTTCATCCAAATCAGCTCTGCTGTTATTTGTTAAGAGAGTTATAAGCATCAAGGGTTCAAAGTTTCTCTGCATATTTACAGATGTGCAAGAAAGAGTCATTTTGCCATTTTATGTGATGACATGGGTTCTATGAGAATTGAGGATCTGTTAAAATGACATTATTTCTTATCCTGCCTTTTCTTTTGTTTCTTTTTCAACTGAGAAGCTGATTAAAAGTCACTCTTAGTACTGCTATGCTTTTGAGAAAGGTTTTTGTGGTAGCTTTTTTGGTTTTGTTTTTGTTTTTTTTTTACAGTTTAACTAGAAGAAGTTCAGTGATAATTCATTGATATTGAAGGCTTCATTTTCAGCCGAAGGGGCTTATAGAGAAGTTCTCTTTAAAGGTGTACCTGTGAGAAAGACGTGGGGAGATTGTGTGCACTTCTTTTCAATAAGTCTGTAAATATCTGGCAGTGAACATATCAGAGAAATGAAACTGGTATTCAGTCCTCCAGAGGCATAGCACATTAATTCAGCTACTTGTTCGAACTCTACTGGCTTTAAACCAGGGCTGAAACTAATCCTTGGCATGGGACTCCCATATGAAAAATTGCTTGTAGACTCTTCCTTCAGAATCTCAGCAGGGAATATTCACTTTGTATTATTTCTAGCCATGATTGCTACCAGGGAAATCCACCATCCTTCTAATCACAACCTTTCTCCTGAAGTTACTTTTGGCACTAGCATAATAAGAAGGAAAGTATATCAAATCAGATGTAGATTGAATTAAAAATAAAATGTGAGTTCATACCGACCAGCCATGGACTATTATCACCAGAGGAAGAGAGGCATTGAAACTGCATTTGTCAAGAGTCTCCAACTGATTTAAAAAAATCTGACAGCCTTCTTCAGTTGTATCTGTATAAAGTCGAAATTTGGTTTCTAAGTTTTGCTGATCCTTCTTTGTTCTAGTGTGCTGACTCTGTGATCCTAGTGCCTCTGAAATGAAATTCATAACAACAGTCATAATAGCATGGAATCTAAAACCTGAAGAAGTTACTAGTTAAGCACAGTTTATAAGACAGAGTAAACTAGTAAGATTGAAACTCTAGCTATATAATTGCTGCCTACTCCAGGTGGGCCTAAGCTGTACATTTTGCGTCAAAAAAGTGATCTCTTTCAAAGTTTGAGATGGTTTAGATGTGCCTCTGAGTCTGTCTATTTGAACAATAACAATTACACAGGAAATATTGATCTTATTGCTATGGGCCCTTATAGAATGCATAAGTATTTAAAAAACACGGTACAGGTGTTGTGACTTTACAATGTTAGTGCATGCACAGGCAAGCACATTCATAGGCTATTAACTCTGCAGGACGTATTTTACCAATGTTCATTTGCTAGTAATTGCTGAGCAAGCATCATTACACTAAAATAACCATTTTATTCAGGGTTATAACTCTGCTTAGAGACTTAAGTGACTGCTTAAAACTATTAGACCACATCGTAAACGATTCTTTTTCTCTAAAAAGGCAAGATGAAATGCTCTTGTTCTAGTTGTAATATTTTTGGTGGTTTCATTTTTAGATAAAATAGCTTGGTATATATAGAACAGCATTTTTAGAAATGTCTATTAAGTATCTGGGATGGTATCTGTATTTAAGAAAGTGGGGGCAGGATGAACTGTGGTCTTATCAACGTTACAAGCTTAGAAGAAAAAAACATGAATATAGAAAAATTGCTGAAAAATGGAGTAAAATAAAGCAAAAGCTTACAAAAAGCACTTTGTAACATGCAAGCCTGGTGTTTCTTTCGAATAAGCCTTCAGACTGTTTGTTTATCTGAAAATAATCCATATAAGATAGAAAAAATGGGGATTAGTAGAAGAAAAGTTAGGGTGTGATGAACTAGACAAATGAAAGGTTACAGTTGTTTGTGTTGGAAAGGAAACTTTTAGAGTGGAGACAGTTTACTGATGGAGTTCCTTGGGGACTGTTTTTTGGCTAATTTTGTTTAATATTTTCGTTAAAGAAGTAGGCAGGAAAGTTACAAGACTGACAAAATTTGGGAGGTATTTGCTAACACTGAGGAGACCAAAATGTTAAACACTAAGAGCCTGATGACCTTGAAATTACAGCAACAGAAACAGGTAGAAATGTCACACTATGAAGTGCAAGGTCATACAGTTGATAGGAATTTCTCTATAAATGGGGGTCATAAATTGGAAGTGACACAAGAGCAGAGACTTGACTGTAGTAATCGGTAACAAAACTGACTATGAGTCACTTCTGTGATTTGGCTGTGAGAAAGGAAAATATAATTCCAAGGTGCATCAGGAAGATGTTTTCAGTAGGAAGAGAGAATATTAGTGCCAGTAAGTTAAGGCACTTACTAACCACATACAGAACAGTGTGCATAGCTCTCGTTACCAAGTTCAGGTGATACCAATTCAAGCTACAACAGCTGCTCAGCAGCAGTGCTAAAATGGTCAGGGAGAAGGCTTTTGTTTTTATTAGACTTAAATTGTGAACTATTCTTGGAGATGAAAATGAAGTATTTTATTCACTGACAAAGAAGTTAAAATTATCTGTGTTGGAACAGAACACACATCAATTTTAGTTCTTATATTTTTCTTGCATAAAAATTCCTGAATAAAACACTAATATTAGAAATATTGTATTGTATTTTATCTTCTAAGTCAGCAGATTTAAATTTTTTTTTTTACATCACAACTCTTATGTCTGCAGATGTTTTCAGAAAACATCTAAAATCATAGCATATTCATTTCTGTATTATATCTGCAAATGTATCCTGAGGTTCTATGACATTGTTGTCTTGATAAGATTTTGATAATTTACAAGGTGGTACTGGTACGTTTACAGATGAGCTTTTATCCTGTAAGCCTATTTAGTGATGGGAAACTCCCATATTTATATATCTGTGGTAGTAGCATCTTACAATGCACAGTACGAAGAACCCTAATGTGAAAGCATGCTGGTTTTGGATCAGACTGTATTTTTGCCACGTCAGTCTTGTTACAAACTTTATTCAAGGTTTTATTTTAGTATAATAATAAGACATGATATAAACAGCATATTTAATTTGGTTAAGTAATTGGAAATTCTGGCAAGAAAACTCCCAAACTGATCTGCACTGGATGAGCACTGTTTTCTATTTGTCGCTAATTATTGTACGTTCCAAGTAACTCCAGGCAATGTTTCATAGCTAGGAAACATCGTTGTAGAAAGCTGTTCAGCCTTTTACAACAGCTGGAATTTAAAAAGCTTCAAAGTTAGCGAAGGTTTGGTTCTCAAAATTCTTAGCTTCAGTCTCACATTTTTCTTTAATAGCACTTTTAATCGTGATATCTAGCTAGGACTAAGTCTGATCATTTCTCTGCTACAATGTCTACTTAAGAGCATTTCTTTTGGATTTTTTTGCTGGGAGAGGACTCGGTTTCTGAAAAAAGTAATATTAGGAGAAAGTGAATCTAGATAAAGAATTGAAAATTGGAAAGAGTTTTAATGATGTTGATATTCTTAACCTCAAGTTTATCCAGGCTTTGGTGAGTAGTCTCTACACAAAGATAAGTATTGTGTTCTATTTTTAGCACAAAAAGAAAAACAAACAAGCACAAGTAACTTGTGCCTGTTCCATTGTACACATCCTTTCTTTGTTTTATGCCTTGTTTTCATTTTCTTTTTGCGCTCTCAGTGTTTGTGCAATGCAAAGGCACTTTGTCACTCTCCGTATTCTTTGTGCACACTACAGAAAACAAGTCTAATAAACAGTTGTTTTCTTTATACATTGACTGTGAAAGTGCTGTGTTGCTTTAGTGGGTGAGCTTTTGGCTTGCCAGTAAGTCTGGGAAAGGGAATTAAAAATACAATTTGAACTTCTTCATGGCTGTCAAAAGTTCCAGTAGAATCTGTTGTGTTATTAGACAAAGAACTGCTACGATCTGTCAATACATGTAATGACTTGGAGAAGGAAATAGAGTCTGAAGAGCTTAGCTTCTACAACAGACTTTTGCTAAAAATATCATACCAGTGACTCGGTGACATGATCGAAGGGAACTGCAAAGTTTCATAGGTGAGTTTACAAAAACAACAAAATAAAACTGCTAAAAATTTTCCCATGCTAGTTGCAGCTAGAGTGCTGAGATCTTCCTGAAACTCCAAAGAATTTCTCTTTGGAAAATTAGCCCTTACCCAGGTGAGTGAGTTGATGACTTGATTTCCTTTTTCTCTGAAGATCCTACTCTAACATGAATTCTTTCAGGAAAGGCAATGCAACATGGCCACACTGATCCATGTGTTATCTCACAGATTACCTTCACACAGAGCAGCATGGTAATCACAAGCAAGAAATGTTGTGACTTCTTGATACCTCAGAGGAGATTCAGCCCTTTACCTTTCCTTACTTTGTGTTAATGATGTTTCTGTGAAGTGCAGTAAAGACTGTAACTGAAGACTGGGTTTGTAAATACTACTCAACTGTAATATAGCAAAGTTTCTTGTAAAATGTTTTGTGGTTAGTTTTGGCAGACAAACCAAAACACTTTTACATTTCGCCTGAGTTAATCATGCTTTCTTGCTGAAAAGTAAAACCAGAAGAGTGATCCCAGCTGAACAAAATGAAGCTTTTTTAATTGGGATTAAAAAAAAAGATGCCTGCATACCTGGTAGATGGTATAGTAGCCATCCAAATTCAATGCACGTTGGGATGTGCAAGATAAGAGTTCAGTTATTGTTTCTCACAATTAGCATTTAATTATTATTCACATTATTAGTGTTTATTGCTTTAGGTGATGTCCATCCTGCTTCTAATAATGTGAGCTCCAAACTAAGATGAAAGGAGCATATGAAGAATAATGAGAAAGCTAGTAAATATGAAGAAATAATTTTTTCTGTAAAAAGAGGTCTTGCAAATAGTAATAATAATAATAATAATTCCATATGGACCAAACTCAGATTATTTGAACTAAATCTTCTATTTACCTGTAGAAGCAGGTTAACCCAGGACACTGATTTGGATTGAATCACCCCAAATGATAAGGCATATGGTTTTCTTAACGATGGCATTTTTGGAGTCTCCTTTGAAATTTACAGATGTGATAGTAATGCTTTAAGGCTTGTAAATGAAAACTTTACTGGAAACTAGACAAAGGTCTGGACACTGGCCAGGGTTTGAAACCATGAAATATCGTATGCTTTTTTGCAGAGAGATCCAGAATCTAAAAGTATTTCTTTCTATATCATGTTTGATTGGGCATAAAAATACGACTATAAAATACCTGCTTCACATCACAAAATTTGCCTAAAGATGTGTCAGGAATGAGGACAAAGTATGGTAGGACTATGTAATGTCAAGAGCAAAATTTTAATATTTGCTAAGTCATACATTTTAAATTCATCTTATGGTACAGCATAAAAAAAATTGATTAAAATTGGCATTCCCAATTAAGGAAAGTAGCTTTTCTGGCTAGGAAAAATAGTGTTCAGCATCCTTCTTCCTGTCATGGAACTGTACAGGAAGAGTTTCTCAATAAGGTCTCACTGAAGAGGGTTGAAGAGGATGTTTCAATGGAACTCACCTAATCCATAGACAATTGAAAAATAAAGTAAACAAGCCTGAATGGAAGCTAAAATTTCAGCTGCTGGTATGTTAAGGACACTTAAAGATCATACAAGTAAGCATGCATACACACCCCACTACCTAGACACAACATTTTTTCTGGTTGCCTTCTGACCCTTACTGCAGCCTCCCTTCATGTTCATGAGTGGATTTGTCTGAGCCTTAATAAATCTCCTTTATCTTTTGGATGGTTTTTACTGCTTTTCATACATGGAAATGTTTCCAAAAGACTGCTTATGTATTGTGATGTTATTTTAGTTATTTAAGAAACAAGTGATAACCTTTGTTGTCCCCAGAATTCTGTTGTGAAAGTGAGCACGGGCAGTGACATGTTATTTTTGTTTGGGCCACGGAAAGTGGAATATATCACAGATCCCCTCATTTCCAATGGCCAGATGTTTTTTTTTGTCACTTAAGAGCTAATGACATGGAAGCATTCAGGTCTCTCAATTTGGCAAATGCTTCCCTTAGAGCTATTCTGTTCTTGCTAGAAGCATAGTTGTCAGTGTTCCTGTTGGATATGGAAAATCCTCTTTGCTAACCCCTTTTACTTTGTTTAGCAGTGCCTGTCATAACCTCCAGACTGTGTGCTTTTTAGGGAAGGCCATTTGCTGCAACTGACACAAAATGACAAAAATTAATAGTGAACTATTAGAACATGTATGGTAAAGGACTCTTAAATCTGAAAATCCTGAAAAATTTAAGCAATAGTGTGTAAAATGTAAGTAAATGGTACATTTCAGTTGCTCTATGTTTACCTAAGCATTATATATCTCTGTGGGCAAAGTTTCTTGTACAATAGCTGACACAAAATCAGGACTGGACTTCTGCTATTTAATAATTTATTCAATCAAAAAGATGATGGGAATAGATTGGAAACATTAGATTAGCTTTTGTTTGCTTTTATATTACTGATTTACAGCAGTATCTTGAAGCCGGGTGTGGTCCATTCTCTATTTTGTTGAGATTAGTAGTTAAGGTACTTGTATATAAGATGATTTTAATTTTTTCTGTCAGTTCAAGGCTTTTGGATGCTGTTTGACTAATGGTTGAAAGTTCCATCTCATGTAGTTCCTAGGTGAGAACTCTAAAACATGGAGTGTTTGGGGGAAATCCAGGTCTTATTGGTTGCTCTAGAGTCCTAGGCAGTCAAAACTCATGTCTGTTGATTTCTTGGTATATTATTATTGTGCTTAAATTTTTTTATATCCTCATGCAGTTCCTTTTTATTTTTCACTCTCCTTAACTTGCTCACCTTGCCAAAGGAAAAGTAGGTATCACTCACAAAAGAATGAATGAAAAAATAGCAAGCAAGCAACAAAAATCTATATCAATTGGATTAAAAATGATGAGGTCTGTTTAGAAAGAGACTTTTTGGAAAAAGCTTCCCTTTTTGTTCAAGTTTAAATGAATAACAAGTAGTGATACTTTTCTCAGCATCAGATGCTCTGTCTGAAAAGTATCATAGTTTTCTGAGCTGCCATTTCTTGTTTTTCCTATATTATATGCATGCACACATGCCAAAGATAAGTCAACAGTCTCACCATGAGTGTAGTTCATACCCAAACAGCCCTGAAGGGAGAGAAGAGGCTGTTAACTAACCATTGTTAAACCTCTGCTAACATACTTTTAACACTCTGTTGAAAAATCCATGAAGAGGAGAGCATATAAAACCATGCCATTCATACTGACTTTCTTCCCCGTGTGTTTCATTGCTTTAAAATCATCCAGATAATGCTACTAACGGATGGCATTAGTGACTCTTGGAACTGGAAGAAAGATGCGTTTAGAAAGAGGCTAATATAAGAATTCATTGGAGCTGGTACCCTGTTTTCATTAGTGAGGTAATGATACTGTCAATGGAAGGTATGCATATGAGTGCCTGTTCAAAAATTACCTCCTGAGTTATCGGGGATGATTATGTCTGTGATTCTTTACCATTAAAGTGCAGAGGATACTTTTTTTTTTTTGAAAATCAGACCCATCCAATGTCTAGCAAAAGTCAGATTTCGAATTCTTTACTAAAACATGATTACCATTTGGAAATCTCTCTTTTTTTTTTTTTTTTCCTGGTGTCTAAATACGGTTCATCTTTCCTGAACTCATTATTATCAGACACTGCTATCATGATTTGAAGCACTGTGGAGGACATGGTGGTCTGAGATAATCCATAAAAACTCATCCCGCAGTTTAACAAAGGGAAGATTGTTCTGTTCCACTCTCCCTGAACCTCCCAGGTCTGTGTTCTTTATTTACCTGGGCTATTTGTGGAAGGGGTGAGGAACCTGGAAATTTGTTTGCAGATGTGATGAGCAACTACAATGTTACAACTGTCAGCAGAGATCCATCCCTATCATTTACTTCTATTCAGAATTAATTTCTGGGTGCAGGAAATTGGAGAAAGCAGAGAATGTAAAGTCCTGTTGGGTAATAGCAGAATCATGATTTTTAAAAAGTTATTAACATGTTAGTAAGGAGTTTAGACCTAGATGATATTTTTTTGAAAAAAACACCCAGCATTGAATTCATGGCATATACAAGAACTGTAAAATATATTCTGAGTATTCAGTACAGATCATTGTTTAGTACAATTCGCTTGCTTGGTGGTCTAAGATATGAAGGAGTGCAACCTACTCTCAGAAGTTGCTTATGTCAAAATAATTGATAAAAGACCGTTGTCAGTTCGTTTTAAATTCTCTACTTATGTATCTCCTGCTGCTGTTTATTTGAAATTGCCTCTCTTGAAAGCATTTGGACAGGTGGTAGAGACAGATACAAAGAGCTTCTGTTTCGCAGAGTGCCTTAAATGGGAGTATGTGGGGATCTGGAGAATAAAATGAGAACATCAAAACAAAAGTCTTGCTAAAAAACCTTGGAAAAGATGATGAAACAGATTAAATATGCTTTGGTTTCCACTTGCTGTTGTGTGTCTCTACTATTCAGAGACATATCTCTTAAGTCACCTACGAATCAAATAATGCATTTATATTTAATGGTTTCAAGAGAGGGAGTGTAACCTGTCCTTTAAGAGACAAAACTTCTAAGAGACAAAAACTAGTAGGTTATCCTTTTGCTTTCCTCTAAATTATCTGTTTATTATTTACATGTATTAGAGCATGTATTTTTATTCCTCTTGCTAAATTTGTGTTTCTGTCATTGGTTTTGAACACTGGGTTGCCTCAAAATTCTCCAAAGAATTACCTCTGATTCTTGTCCCTTACTCTTTCTCTTCCCTGTTAAAACCCTTTTTTAGTATGTGAAACTTGTGAAAAATAAGTTTTGGTCTCCTTTATTTAGAACCAAGTATTGAAATGATGGTTAGAACAGAAGGCAAAGAAATAACACCCACCCTCCCAACTGTTAACTGTCCCTTTTGTCTTTTTATATCAGGTGAAAACTTCATGGAAGAATGCTGATTTTCAAAAGCTTGATATTTCTTTTATTGTCTGATTAAGTTAGGTAAATAACTTTTTCCTTTTTTCTGTCCTTCATTGTGACATAATTTAAAAATATTAGTTAGTTCTCTATTAAAAAATGTGAGTTTAAGTACAATAATCAATAAGCTTGTGAGACTGTTGTTGCAAAGAACAGGGAAAACAGTGCACAAAGAAACCAGCAGTGCCTCTTTGTTTAGAATTCTGCGCCTGGGTTCTGGGCTGATGCACTGTGCAGAACAATACATCCAAATCTCTGTGTCCTCTCTTGAAAACGGTGCAGAAGGAGGCACCAACCACACAACTGTTGAACAGCTTGCATTATTTACAGGGTAACAAAAATGCTGTACTCCGAGTTTCCTCATCTAAAGCAAAATACTTCCAAATATGAACGTTAAAGTGCTACTTGTGCAATGCATAATTGCTAAATTAAAATTAGTAACCCAATGGTTTAATCTGACCTAATCTGAATTTTATGAACAAAAATACTGGAAAAGCATTACAGTATGTCTTTCTAGGAATGCTTTGGACTAGCACATAATCTAGATCTCAAATTGTTACTATAAATTAATGTTAAAAAATAATCATCTCTCCTCCATCTGTTACCTAACCAAAACTTTCATAGTTTCAAGTAAGATTTAAAAGCAGGTAAATGTTGCAAAAAATACTTAATGCCCTTCATGAAGATGCTTCCTTTTGTATATATGCATGACTAAATTTTTTTGGCCAGGGTTTCTGCCAAGTTATTCAGATGCCTGATTTGGAGCTTAAATTTCCTTTCTTTTTTTGATATTAAAAGCAAAAAGAAGAAAGAGTCACAAACTGCCTGGGTGAAATATATATGTTCATATGATGTTACTAGATAGAGGAAGGGGCAAATGAATAATGACAAATGTGAAGCTAAGTAGATGAGGACTTTTCAGCCAGGAGACAACTAAGAGTGATATGGTATAGAGGTCTATAAAATCATGAATGGCATGGGCAAAATAGAGAGGGGATCACTTGTATGTCTC